ACGTGTCACCCAGTACCCAGTACTGACGTGTCACCCAGTACTGACGTGTCACCCAGTACTGACGTGTCACCCAGTACTGACGTGTCGTCAACATGAAGGCAGGTGACGACCAGGGTGGACCCTACCATGTTGTGCTGCTCCCTGGACTGCATCCTCATGTTGAAGGCCTGCTGACGAGCGTTCTGGACCGCTTCTGGACGTCCTCCCCGACCCAGGGCCTGGGGGGCGAACTGACCAGAGGTCATGTAGGCCGGACCCTGACGCTCCGCCTGACGCCAACAGAAAGAGGAAGTAGAAGATGAATGGACGTGAGCGAAGACCACGCCTTCATCATCATCATCATCATCATCATCAGAGACATTTGACCCACTCACCTTCATCCTCTTCTTCTTCTCTTTTTGTCTCCTCTTGAAACCCTCCTGAATAAAGATCAAACAGTACCACCTCAGAGACAGTTTATATTTAAATGATTAAATGATCTGGTCACCCATTGGTCAGAGGTTTGCTCTGATTGGTTCAATCAAAAAGTCAAAAAAAGGTCAGACCCAGTTTACAGGTTTCAAATGTGGTATTAGCACCACCTGCTGGCAGAATAACTTCAGACCTCACAGACATTGTCAACACACTGATTCACCTCTAATACAACTGACATTCAACTGAAGTACAGCGACCCCTGCTGGGGAGGAAGATGAAAAATAAAACCCACTTCATCCTCCTTGCGTTTTTTGAAGATGTTGTCCTCGGCCACGCCCACAGCCTGCATGATCATCTCCACCCGCTCCAGGTTGACGTAGCCGTTCTGGGTCAGGTAGCCCTGCGGGGACATTTGAACTTTAGTCCACTCTGTTGGACTCAGATACAGACGGGGGTCTGGGCTGCAGATGAAGACCCCACCCACATTTACTCACTCCAGTTTTGTGAACCACGTCTTTGTAGATCCGCACCAGTCGATCTATCGCCCCCTCTCTGCAGCACACAAAAACAGCATTCACAATTAAAATAAAAGTTTTAAAAGTAAAACCAGGAGCAGGCTGTGGTTAAAGAGGACTGTGGACCTCTAGACCTGGTCCTGGTCTAGGTGGGCTGAGTACCAAAGAACCAGAAACTCCTGAGGCCGACCAGAGCGCAGTGGAGTTTTAAATGTATACTCAGCACCACCTGCAGGCCAGGGTAGAGCAGTGCAGACTGCAGCATCTGGACTGACCTGATTTCTAAGGAGGGAAGATGAGGCAGGAAGTCGTTCCCCACGAAGAAGCACATGAAGACCCAGTCGTCCACGCTGCGCTCAAAGTCGAAGGGAAACGGCAGACTGGCCATGGTCAGTTCTCTGGACAAGTACTGAGGACAGCAGAGGACGAAGAAGGATCCGTCTTAGAAACGGGAACACACACACACACACACACACACACACACACACACACACACACTCTCTCACACACACACAGCTACCTCTCTGAGGACACACAGTCTGATGAAGATGAACTCCTGCTCAGACACTGGGACGGTGTCGGCGAACTCGTCGTGCTGCAGGAACAGAGTAGAGAAAAGGATTCTGGGATTGAAAACACTGACCTTTGACCCACCGAGGCGGTTCAACATGAAGCGTGAAAAACATTTTTTCACTAAAACAGAATGTAGACTGGAGTTCATCACACACTGGTGATGGGGGGGTCAAAGGTGGTGATGGGGGGTCAAGGGTCAAGGGTGTGATGTTACTTCATTTTTGAATGGGTTTATTTTTAAATACAACTCAGTTTACATGCCATGTAGCTGGTAGTTGTATGTGTGTGTGTGTGTGTGTGTGTGTGTGTTGACCTCTGACCTGGCCCTGCTTCTCTCGGGCCGTGCCCTGACACTCTCTTCGTGGCCCATCTGTCCACACAGGGCACAGGGCCGCGGCTTGTTGGGCTTGAACTCCTCCCTGATGATGGTGAAGTTGGGCTCGTGCGTGGCCAGGCCCAGCATGATGAGGTCAGCTGAGGTCACCCAGAGAGAGACAGACAGGTGGTTTAACACGGACACAGGTCCAAACATTAAAGGTCAGAGAGGTGAAGAGAAGAGACTGACCGTCGGCTCCACACAGACAGTGGTGGGTGTTGGGGTCGTGGTGGGGCTGAGCTGAGAATCACAACAACACACACTGGTCAGCACAGAGGCTGCAGACCGCCCCCTGGTGGGCGACAGCTGCTTCACACATGTTAGGTTCAGTAGTCCAAATGTCTTTACCTCTCTGTCGACGTATGAAGTCCATGATCTTGTGTTCACCTTCACCTGGAACACTGGCGTCAGACAGAAACACCTGCAGCGCACGCACACACACGCACACACACACAAGTACAGTTTGGCTTTTCATACTGCTCCATCAGGTCTAACAATCTTTGTGCTAACTATTAGCTACATTGCTTGCTAGCTATTTCTATATCGGCAGTTTTCTGAACATAGATCCCTATAGATTTCTAGCAAACCTTTAGCAAAACGTGGCTAGCATTTAGCACTTTGTTTCTAAGGTTGGGTCATCTGTGTGGCCAACGTTCCGGCTCCTTCTTCCGCTAACCTGTTTAAATATAAAACCATTCACTTCTTAGCTTCCTGGCTAATGCTCGGCTCTAAAGCCCCGTCTCACCGTGACATTTTTCCAGCCGGGGTCGTTGGTCAGACGGTCTGCCACGTAGTACCTGAGGCACTGGGCCAGGTTGTCCATGAACTCTGTTCCCTGGAGACACACAGACGTGGCCCAAGGTTCTCATGTGTTTCAATGTCAAATGAAATGAGTACAAAGACAAGGGTGAGGAACAAACCGGGGTGATGCAGTTACTGTCAAACCTCTCCTTGATTTGCTCAGAGGGGACGGAACCGCCTGGAGAGAAAGACGGAAACACCTCAGAAAAACAAAGACTGAAGTCAAAGAATCAGTTTTAGAATTAAAATAGGCTAAAACTGAGTTCTTCTTCTGAACAGTTCCAGTGTGTAACACACACACACCTCTCTGGAGGATCTCCTCCCTGATCCGATTCTTCTCCTCCGTCAGCTCCACTCCTTCCTTGGAAGCTCGAAACCGCCGCGATCGCTGCTGGTTCATTTTGGCCCGTGGAGCCTGAGGAGAAACAAAAGTTCTGCTGTCAACTCAACAGAACCCACTTCCTGTTCCTGTGATCTGAGGAGACCTGGAACTCACCACTCCATCGATGGCCATGTACAGGACTCTCCTGGGACGCACGATGTTGAAGAGGCGGTCGATGTACTCGAAGATGGCCACCATCATCTCGTCTTCATTTTTGGGGGCGGGTCTGTGGGAGACACGGTTCAGCTCAGACACAGGCTGATGTGAATGAATCACAGTGAGGTTAAAGGAACAGTCTGGAAATCTTTACTTGTCTTCTGGATGAGTACAAGGATGAATGATGCCGTTCATGTCCAGGTACAGGTTGTCAAACTCCACTTCATTGGGGTTGGGCTTGGTCGTGTCGACAGGAGTACGGACTCCATTACACTCTCGACCCTGGGGTGAAAGACAGACAGACAGAGAGTCAGTCAGTCAGTCAGACAGACAGTCAGACAGACAGTCAGACAGACAGTCAGACAGACAGTAATTGATATTTTAAGTCAGACAGTCGGTAATTGATATTTAAACGCAGAGACAGCAGCTGCCCCCCCCCTCCCCCCCCACCCCATCTATTCTCATGTTTCCAACCTGAAGCTGGGAGATATTTTCAGCCAGAAGCATTGTGAGAGCGCCCCCTGGAGTCATTAACTTTAGTTCAGGTGTATGATAAGATAATTAACACCGAACCACTCTGTTCTACCCACAGGTGGTAAAAGTCAATTCACCTTCGTCACTTTAGTCACGTGTTTTATTAACGTGGGCTAACGTTGATAACGTACAAAGCTAATCTTATCAGCAGTGGTGGTGGTGCAGCTGATATTACGCCTGCTTTACCCGCAGAAGTCCCCGGGTTCGAGCCCCAGTTGAATCATCATATACTTCCACCTGTTCATGTTCAAGTCACTCTGGACAAAAGCGTCTTCTAAATATCGACAGTATAACGTCTTTAAACGTCACAGTCTGTACGTCACAGTAAACCTGAGATGACGTTAGGTCTGGTTTGTTTTCAGAGCGGGCTCACGGTCCACCGAGAAAACAACCGCGTTTAAAATCACAAAGACGGAGAAAACACCGCGTCAAACTAATTATAAAGTACTAATAAACCATCGTTCAATGTTTGAGCCCCGTGTGTGACTTAGCTTCACGTTAGCAAACATGCTAACACGTACCTTCTCTTCCACACAGTGGACGATGATGGACGGATATTTCCTGCTCAACCAACGGAAAAACGCCGGGACTCCCATTTCTGTGCAAAGTCCAAAGACGTTTTGTTTATAAAAATTAACTTGGTAGAAACAGCTTTAAAATCGATGTGTTTGTTTTTGCAAAAAGAGACTGTTGGTAATAAAGCGTTTGTTCGCGGCTACATGCTGCTGTTGACCCCGGAAGTGAAGAAATGTTTCTGGTTCACGGCGTCGACTTTGAACGAATTATTGTCACTGCAGCGCCCTCTGCAGCTCTGGAAGTGTAACTTAAGAAAGGTATTGTCATTCAAATCAAAGTCAAATGAAAACGTGACGTGATTATCTGGACAAATACGTCACAGCAGTGAGATCCAATCGAGTTTGTTTTTGCTAAAAAAACAAAATCTCCAGTACGAAGTATTTATTACGTTAACATCAGAGAAATCCTAGTCCATTTAACTGACTATTAGGTAAAGCTGTAACTTGTTAACTAGCTGTTAAGTTCTGATATCGTTGACGGTTATTTAATAATTGGTGAACTTTGGTCATAATTTGGATTAATGAGCTAATTATGGCTACTACCATTATTCATCTCTATTAACCTATTAACCTATTAACCTCTAACCCTTGTACATCGATAGTGTTTGTTTCGATGTCGTTGTTGTTAAATGGTCTTTTTTCAAAGCTTCCGTTGTGGAACCACGAACAGTTCCTCCGGGTTCTTGTGTCGAACTCAGCTCAGAGACAGAACAAATGAGCTGCAACATTTCTGCTCGTGTGATGAGACCCCGAGTCCGCGGCTCTTTCTTCCCACGGCACAGCGGGAAGAGCCGCAGCTCAAAGACGCTCAGATGTGGAAACGTTCTGGAAGCTCGGAGAAGCCAAATTGCAGCATTATTCCAGGAGGTTTCCCGCTGAGCTTTTCATGTGTCGGCTAAAAGAGACGAGCTAATGAAAGGCACGAGGAGGAGTTCCAGCGTCCAGACCACGACGGACTCCCAACAGGAGAGAACCACGTCAGCTCCATCTGCTGACTCCACCAATGAGGACAAGACGGATGTCCACGACTGATCAGGTCCTGACATGGTGGAGTTCAAACACACTCCGGAAAACAAACAAACAAACAAACAAACAAAACAAAACAACACTTCAAGAAGGTCATTATGGTTCTAGAATTATGGTCTGTAATTAGATAATGAACCTGGAGGATGGATGAAGGATGGATGAAGGATGGATGATGCATGGATGAAGGGTGGATGAATGAAAGATGAATGGATGAAGGATGGATGATGTATGATGGATGATGGATGATGGATGGATGGATGATGGATGGATGGATAGATGGATGGAAAGATGGATGGATGGATGGATGGATGGATAGATGGATGGATGGATGGATGGATGGATGATGGATGGATGGATGATGGATGGATGGATGGATGGATGATGGATGGATGATGGATGGATGGATGGATGGATGGATAGATGGATGGATGGATAGATGGATGGATGGATGATGGATGGATGGATGGATGGATGGATGATGGATGGATGATGGATGGATGGATGGATGACAAACTGATAATAAACTGGGAACAGACAGAATTCCTGGTGGAATCCTGAAGCTGCAGAGAACGATGAGAACAGTGAAGGTTTTCACTGCAGCAGGGATTTAACATGACACAAGTGTTGTGTCATGCTACCCCCTGGTGGTGAACACTGGTAATGTCAGGTACCGAGAAAACACGCAGAACGGTCCAAAGCAGAGGGACTGAGCGGTGACCGTGGATCGAGTCCAGTCACTGAACCCACGGCAGGTTTCTGTTGGCCAACTCTCAGCTCTCGTTCCACGAGCCTGTGTTTCCTGTACGTTTTTAACCAAATGTGTTTATGATTTTGTTTGAACTTTGACATCAGTGGAACCGTCCTTGTTATTTCTCCACGGCTGAAGAAGAAAGGAAAGAGAAACTTTCCCTCTGCTCTGATCGTGGTCGTGTAGACGTGTGTGATCATTTAGTTGGAGGTTTGGTGTGTGTGTGTGTGTGTGTGTGTGTCCGTCAGCTTCTCAGCACTGAAGGCTCTGATGTTCAGATCTGCAGGGTTTTTAGTTTTGATTCCGACTCACGCTGAGACATTCAAACACAGCTACGAGTCATTAGGGCTGCAGCAGGACGGAATGAAAGAAGATCTGATCCACGCTCACAACCCACACACACACACACACACACAGGAGGAGGAGGAGGAGGAGGAGGAGGGGCTGCTGATGCAGAGCCTGTGAACAACACTGAGGCTGTTTAAAAAACCCCTGGAGTGTTTAAAGAAGATGGGTTTACACAAATGAGCAGGGAGGGTGAGGAGAGAGGAGAGAGGAGGAGCTGAGGGGAGGAGGGGGGAGAGGAGGGGCTGAGGGGAGGAGGGGGAGGAGAGAGGAGGGGCTGAGGGGAGGAGGGGGGAGAGGAGGGGCTGAGGGGAGGAGGGGGGAGGAGACAATGTTGTCTCTTTCTCTGTTGTTTTAACTTCTAACCCACTGAACCAGATGATGATGATGATGATGATGATGATGATGATGATAATTATTCATTATTTGTTTCTCTGACTTTTATGCGGTTGTTGCTAATATATAATAAGCTAACTATAATTAGCCAAATCTTTTTTCTTTTTGCTGTTTTATTTAATTAACCAAACAAAAGATGACCCCCCCCCTTAGCTCAGTGCGTCTGAACATTAGCCTGAGTTAGCTAAGAGTTAGCCTAGAACACAGCTATCAGTGATTCTAGAAGGACTGCTGTCCTCCACTGTCGTGATGCTGAGGCTACAGAACAGCCAGCGGGGGGCGACCTCAGCTGAGCTCCACATGAAAGGCTCAGCTACAAAGACCGCCACACGCGCCCCCCCCCCCCTCACGCCACTACTGCTTTCTGCTTTTGTTCAGTAGAAGCGTTGGTGGTCCTCCACCAGGGGGCGCCGGTGACACCAGCCAGTGGCTGTTCTTTTTCTTCTTCTTCATCAGTTTATTGAGATGAACGACGTCAGAATCAAATCACTTTTCTCTTTTATTTACTTCTCTTGTTAATCACTCAGAGCCCCTGACCTCTGACCCCTGACCCTGACCCCTCAGTCGTCTCCCCACCACCAGCTCAGCGAAGCCCGTCTGGTCGTCCAACTCTCTGCTGAAGCTCAGCTCCACGGCTTCACCCACCACCACCTCGGCCGTGGTGAAGACCTCCAGGGGGCCCAGGACGTGCCCCCCCACCGTACGGCCCTCGGCGTCGGACAGGCAGACGTGGAGGTGGGGGGGTGGGTTCAGCGTCCCCACCAGAGACACGATCTCATGTGGCCCGCTCAGATGCATCACCTGAGGGGGCGGAGTCATGACATGGACATCATCACGAGGCTCTGCACTGTTAGCTGTTAGCCGTTAGCTGTTAGCCGTTAGCTGTTAGCCGTTAGCTGCTCTGTCACAGTATTTCCAGACAGACAGACCAGTCTGTGGTTTCTGCGCCGTTAGCTGCTCTGTCACAGTATTTCATAGACAGACCAGTCTGTGGTTTCTGTCTCACCTGGTCCTGGTCTGTGGCCGTGGCGTTGGCCAGACGCAGCGTTGCCTTGGTAACACTGCCAACACAGCTGAGGACAAACGGTGCTGAAAGACGCCGCTCCTGGACAAACGCCTGCAGGAACCCAAACAGGTCCTGACCGGGGCCCAGTCGGACCACGTGGACCTGCAGTGACGATCCTGAACCTGGTCCTGGAGGAAGACTCTGGGACAGAAACAACACTTCCTGTTTTTAATTCTGTCCAATGAACTGGTGACTCTGACAGTTCCAGAACTTTTAAGTTTTTAACTTTTAGATGAGACAACATGGACTCAGACTCCGGTCCTGGTCCAGGACTCGCTCCTGGGTGAGAGAGTCCTGGATCAGTTCCTCCGGACCCTGGAGAAGTCAACTCACCATGTCTGCTCCACAACGACCCCTGGACTCTGCTCAGAGACCACACACTCACTGCCCATGCGCACTACACTGGAAGCTCCAACTCCAAACTTCCTGCAGTGTTTTCCCTGGTCTTTTACTGCCATCTGCTGGCGGCGCGAAGCATAACCAGAACATTGCAGGGTCAGAGTAACAACGAAGGTCTTTTCTTTTTCTTTTTCTTTTCGTGGAATCGTAGCAGGATGACAGTGACGTGACGTCATGATTACTGATGTTTAATCTGAAACAAATTTGAGTTCATTTTCTGCAAAGACCAGTGAGAAACGGAGAGTTCCTCATTTTCATTGCTAGGTGGCGCTGTGAGTCAAGGAAAGTGCTGCAGAATGGACAGTTTTCAGCAGAGAGTGTGTTAACAGATGTTAATCCCACTGGGATTAACAGCTGTTAATCCCACTGGGATTACTGGAACCACAGAGAAACGTCAGGTTATTTACAGATTTAAAAACAGTAGGAAACGAAGAGCAAAAACCAAAGGTAAAGGTTAGGCTAAAGGTTAGGCTAAAGGTTAGGCTAAAGGTTAGGCTAAAGGTTAGCTGGAACATATTAGCTGACGTTAACGCAGAGGTGGGATTATATGGTTCATATTGGGCCTAAGGGTGAGTTCAAAGGTCAAGTTAGGCCAGTGTTGGTCAGCTGTGGTGTTGGCGCCACCATCAGGTCAAGAGTTCATTTCTGTCTCACTTCATTTGTCAACAAGGACGACGTCCAAATGTCAACGTTGTCCTCCAGCATCGCTTTAATTGGTTCACCAGTCAGATCAGTCGGACCGTGTGTGTGTGTGTGTGTGTGTGTGTGTGTGTGTGTGTTCAGGCGTCGTTCCATGGCATCAGCAGCTCCCAGCATCCCCGGCTGCGTCTCCTTTGTTCCAGTGGTTAATGAAGGAGGAGTGACAGTGTCATCTGCTGCCTCTGTCAGTGACACAAATGAACCACAGGGGGCAGCAGTGCACAGCTGTTCCTCAGCTGAACCCACTAAACGTTGGGGTGTGTGTGTTGTGTTGATGTGTGTGTTGATGTGTGTGTGTTGATGCTGACGTAGAAGATAAAGGGTTAACAACTGAATGCTAACGTTGAAGAGGAAGAGGAAGACCACCACCTGAGGAGGAAGACCACCACCTGAGGAGGAAGACCACCACCTGAGGAGGAAGACCACCAAAGTAGACTGACTAACATCCTCTCTGTCAGCAGGACTGAGGCCACAGATGGAGCTGATGGAGGAGACTGACTACTCCTGCCCTCAGGGACCTCCAGCCTCCAACTACACTGGCTGCCAGGTAACACCATCCACACAGCAGCAGTAACAGCAGCAGCCGCAGGAAAAACAACAGCAGGAGCCAGAAGAGGACGC